AGTGCCCCCCTTAAGAGGCCAACCGGCAGCGCCCCAGCCCCCCTCCACCTTCCCGGCTTTGCTCCGGGTATCCCTGGTCTGCTGGAGACGGTCCCCAGCAGACCAGGGGCACCCAGAGCAGCTTTTCTCGCCCCGGAGGTCGAGGTGGCGGGACCGCTGCACTCTGGGCAGTCCCGCTGCCTGCGAGCTCCAGGGCGAAAAAGCCCTGTTCGTAAGTGCGGATCCGACATAAGTCGGATCCACGAAACTCGGGGACTGCCTGTACTAGGAGTGACCTGCCAGGTAAGCACAGTGCCACAGCGAGAAAAAACTTCTCAATAAAAGAAGATGCTCAAACAGCAAAGTTCAGGGTCACAAAGCATAGGAACCACTACCTAAAACTAAGAAGACTGAGCTTAAACAAACATCTTAATGGCTAAATACAAGTTAACTGATCCAATTCATTGGTCTTTTGAAGCCAGGCTTAGCAGAAAGAACAGGCTGGAAGAAATTAAATAACAATCAAGCAGTGTTAGTGTTTCCTTTCCATGAGTTAGGTGTTTTAGTCCTACAAAGCCTGTTGCCACATGGCCTTGGCCATTTTGATCTCTCTCTTTGCAGCTCCACAAGTCCTGGTGGGTGGTAACAAAGTAATAGGAAATTGAACAGAGCAGCCAAAACCCAACCCTTGATGCTACTTGGAAAAACAAAGCACTCAGCTGTGAGAAATGAGAGGCACATAGACACCAGATGGATGTGGCAGAACTGATCTTTCTCAGTTGCTCCTTTGAGACAACATGCTCTGACAGGTCTGAAGAAGCAGCAGCTTAGGAATCAAATGGATATTTTTATTTTTCATGAATAGCATCGCTATGTCAGAGTTTTAAAAAAGGGGTCTTGATTATAGATAGATAGTTATAGACAGACCACACAAATAAGGGAGGTAAATGGTTAACTGGCAAGGGCTGGAGTGGCTCCCCCCCCGCCCCAAAAGCAGGGACAGCTCCAGCCGGCCAGGAAGAGCAGCCCCTGTCCATGGTGAACCCACCACACCCCACCTCCTGTTATACAATAGCTCTCTGGCCCTGCTCCTGGAGAGGCGGCTTTGGTGAAGACTTGCAGTATAACCCTAGAAGTGAGGTCAGCAGGGGCTGCTGGTCCTGCTCCCAGGGAGGCTTTGTTGTGGGTTCTGCAGTATAAAGCTTATTTAAGTTTTATGCTGCAGAGTCCACAGCATGTATAACTGCTAGGATTTTTAGCGGTTACACAGTTACATTTTTAAATGATTATTTTACATCCCTAACATATAGTCATTTGCACTCAAGAAATGCAATGTACAATGTTGGCATTATAATACATTACCTTTTATTTCTTTGGTTAAATTTCTCTCCGCTTTCATCATCACTAAAATCAGAATCATAACCTCCCCGGCCATGTACCTGGAAATAATAAAGAAATAAAGGAAAATTATTGTAACGCAACAAGATTAGAATCTTAGAAATGTTGTACTGGAAGAGACATTGCATGATCATCTAATTCATCCCTATGCACTGAGTTAGAACCAACTATAGCTAGATCATCCCTGATGGATATTTATTTAACCTGAAATCAGGGCTTCTTGCGCCAGAACTCTGACGCTCCCACTCAGGAATAAGACTTTTTGCGCAACTGTTCTTGCGCAAGAAGCCTCTGTAGACAGGCACCATGAATTTCTTGTGCAAAGCCCTATGGTTAAAATGGCCATCAGAGCTTTCTTGCACAAGAGAGTATCTACACTAGCAAGGACGCTCTTGCGCAAAAGCACATCTCTTGCGCAAAAGCACATGCCACTGTAGACGCTTTCTTGTGCAACTACTTTAACGCAAGAACTCTTGCACTAAAGAGTTTTTGCACAAGATCATGCCAGTGTAGATGTAGCCTAATTGCCCTAGCTATAGTTGATACTAACTTCCGTGGATTCCCGTTTCAAGTCTACATCACTGCAAGCTAGATACCTGCAAAATGGAATTACATCAATCAACACAAACTAGGTATTTTTTAATTCACGCCAGCAGAATCTACATGGGCAGTAAGAGTACAACATGTTAGTGAGCACTGCTCACTGTCAAAGACATAATAATGCAGTAGATGACTATCTGGTCAGTCTGGAGATTCCTACATTTCCACAACAATTATCCTCAGACAAACACCTGAGAAAACAAGAAATCCTAATATTTTGCCTTTCAGGTTAACAAACTTAATTCCACTGAACCTACAGGGGAATCAAAAGTCAGAGTCAACACTTTTCCAGTCTCCAAATGCTAAAAGCTCTGAATCAATTGTGGCATTTTTGCTGGGACAATCCCATATGTAACCAGGACCTAACTGTATAGTATATCAAAATTAGAATCTTGATCGCACTAAGCAGCACACGGTAGGTTTAGCACAAGCTTTGGAAAATAGGTATGATATGCTCCCAATCATAGCACTAAGTTATGATATTTGCAAATCACTCTAAGTTATTTCCCTTCTGCTATCCCTTCTTTGTCTTTTTTATTTACATTGCTGGCTCCTACTCCAAAGAGCGAGCTTCTCTATTACTCTGTACAGTGCCTAGCACAATGTGACCATGTACTTGCTTAGCCCCTACTGCTACTATAATGCCCACAAACAATAACAATAGCAGCGGAATTCATAAACAAACAGAAAGCCACATCCTGCACTAGCTATAGCTTCCAAGGTACATTCAAGAGTAGCCTCACATACCATACCATACTACATTGCAATAACCCAATCTGAAGCTCAGTGGTATAGGTAATGGTTTCTAGTTCAGTATCTGATAAAAACAGACAGTGACCTAACTACTGACAGTTGGAAAAACACATTTCTGACTGCCAACAATACTATGTGAATGTTACAATAGTGTACCTACAGTGGCTACACCCTGACAAATGTAAATATGCTAGAGAGACAATAGCATCCTCTACACATTCTTGCCAAGCTACTTGAAAGCTTGTGGACCAAATACGATTATGACGAATACCACTGTCTAGTATAGTAATGCCAACTTAAAATTAAGTAAAACAAAAAACCAGACTTTTTTTTACTTTAATTTTGTTATTTGGTTGTTGGGGAATGATTTGGATTCCCTTTCCACTCTTGGATATGAGGATTCAATTAGTAATACAGAACATCAATGGAATAAACTTGCTGTTCTTCCATCACTAAAAACCCAGTTGTATTCTCGATTTCAGAAACATAAAAGAGATTGCTGAGGCATAGTTGTATCAACTCCAAGTAAACTACATATACCGAAGAGGTGCATGCACCTGTATGGATTTTCTATTTAACCATTATTATCGCTGTCCTTTATGTACTTCAGGAAACTCCCCAAGAAACTTACTATCAATCAAATAGACTACAGAGCTATTCTACATTGTTGTGGTGTCAATGTAGTCAGTGTGTGCTAGCACAGAAGCTGCAATGATGCAGTAAATCTTTCTAGTAAAGTCCAACAAAGCTCTAAACCAGTGACACTCAGGGTGTGTCTAGACTACATGCCTCCTTCGACGGAGGCATGTAGATTAGCGAGATCCGAAGAGGGAAATGAAGCCGCGATTATTTTAATCGCGGCTTCATTTAAATTTAAATGGCTGCCCCGATCTGCCGACAAACAGCTGATCGGCAGATCGGGGCAGCCATTTAAATTTAAATGGCTGCCCCGATCTGCCGACAAACAGCTGATCGGCAGATCGGGGCAGCCATTTAAATTTAAATGGCTGCCCCGATCTGCCGACAAACAGCTGATCGGCAGATCGGGGCAGCCATTTAAATTTAAATGGCTGCCCCGATCTGCCGACAAACAGCTGATCGGCAGATCGGGGCAGCCATTTAAATTTAAATGAAGCCGCGATTATTTTAATCGCGGCTTCATTTCCCTCTTCGGATCTCGCTAATCTACATGCCTCCGTCGAAGGAGGCATGTAGTCTAGACACACCCTCAGACTGAGGCTCTGAAGTCCCAAGAGGCTCTTTAATATATTTCCTGCACCTTGGAAACACATGATATTGAAACATTATATTTTTGAATATATAGTAAATGAAACAACGTATTCACAGTTGGCAATGCTTATTATTAATTTGACTCCTGAATCAATGAGATTTGGCTACCAGTGCTCTATACCATTTTTTCAGAAGTAGATTGTGCTGAACAGACACTGCCATTTTTCAAGCCACTCACCTACAGGATCAATATAGATGCACTCAAGATTACATTCAACTGGAGAAGGCTCGGCCACTTCCAGGCCTCCCTCTAAAACTCTATGTAGGGCCAAGAGCAGAGTTAGACAGCCACTCTTAAAACACGGGTGATATGTCTATACTAGCAACTCACACATTGCTAAAACAGGTGGATAGGGTTGCCAGGTGACTGGTATTTTACCGGACAGTCTGGTTTTTGCACCCTCTGTCTGGTAAAAAAAAATTCAGAAAATATCGGACATGTGCAATGTCTAGTATTTTCTGTTTTTCTGGCTGGGCGCTGGACAGAAGCCTTGTGGGGGCAGGAGGGAGTGGCTGGGAGGTGGGGCCGTGATCGGCGCTGGGAGCCTGTGGTAGCGTACAAAAGCCTGGCGGGGGTGTGGGCGAGGGGAGTGGGTGGGAGTCCCAGCAACTCCCCCCGCCCGGCTTCTGCACACAACCAGTGGGAGTCCAAGGCTGGAAGGCGGGGCCACGATTGGCACTGAGAGCGTCTGGTTGTGTGCAGAAGCCGGGTGAGGGTGGGGGGAGTGGCTGGGAGGCGGGGAGCACTCGGAGCTGGGAGCCCTCAGCTGATTGCGTCTGAGGAGGAGTGATGCCTTGAGGGGGGAGGAGAAGCCCTGTCCCTGCTCCTGAGCACTGTTCAAGCGCTTTGTGGCGCTGTAGTCCAGGAGAGATGCTTGCAGGTGCTTTGTAGTTGCGTTTAGGCGCCTTCCATGGGCTCTCAGCCAAAACTAACTGGGGTGGAATTTCTGCTTCTTCCCACTGGGACACCCAAAGACCTGGCTATGGGGGAGTCACCTTCCTACCCATGGTCCCCCCATTCTTCCATTTTATTGCCCCGGGGTCTGCCTCTCTCTGCTTTGGGTAGCAGACAGCTGCTTTGCAGAGCAGGCTCTGCTGCCTCCTCCTTTGTTCACAGCTTAGTGGCTCCTGGTAGTAGCCACACAGAATCTGTGTTCAGTGTGGGTGGGGTTTTTTTTTCCCCTCAACAAATTTTTAGCCCGTGTGTTCGATTTTTTTGGGAGACCATCTGGCAACCCTACAGGTGGACTACCCAAGTAGAAGACACTCAGGATAAAAAATGTGGCATAGACAATGCCTGAGACTAAAGAAATGCACTAGTACAATGCTAGGATGTACTTGGGGTATCAATTTTCATCTTAGACATAAAAATGAAGTACTAATCTTTGAAAGCTTCAGAGGGTAGCCGAGTTAGTCTGTAACTTGAAAAACTTAAAAAACAACTAATAGTCTAGCAGCATCTTAGACTAACAAAACATGTAGAAGGTATCATGAGCTTTCGTGGGTACAGTCCACTTCTTCAGATGACCGGAGTATTAAAAATCCAGATTCCTCTATTTATTCTAGGTTGTAGATTTTTAATACTCTGATCATCTGAAGAAGTAGATTGTACCCATAAAAGCTCATGATACCATCTACATGTTTTGTTAGTCTTTAAGATGCTGCTAGATTAATCTTGGAAAGTCGCCCATCCAAATACTGATCAGCTCTACTTTGCAGAAAGTTTGTATCAATCAAAATTTCCAAAATTCTACTTACCTAGGGCTATAAAAATATTTTTCCTACAAAACAGGTACAACATAATCAATAATTTTATTATTAATCTTCATGGGCTTTGTGCCTGGACTGGCCTTGTGCCTGGACTGGTATCATGGCAGTTTTGCAAGATTATATCATTATGGCTGTGTCTACACTGCACCCCTTTTCCGGAAAAGGGATGCAGATGAGACAAGTCGGAATTGCAAATGAAGTGGGGGATTTAAATATCCCCCGCTTCATTTGTATAAACATGGCTGCCGCTTTTTTCCAGCTCGGGGCTTTGCCGGAGAAAAGCGCCAGTCTAGACGGGATCTTTCAGAAAATAAACCCTTTCGGAAAATAAAATCCCTGATTTTAAGAGGAATAAGGGACCTTTCGGAAAAGGGTTTATTTTCTGAAAAATCCCGGCAAAGCCCTGAGCCGGAAAAAAGCGGCAGCCATGTTTATACAAATGAAGCGGGGGATATTTAAATCCCCCACTTCATTTGCAATTCTGATTTGTCTCATCTGCATCCCTTTTCCGGAAAAGGGGTACAGTGTAGACACAGCCTATATGTTTATTTTATTATTAAGGTTGTCAATTAATTGAAATTAACTCAAATGATTAATTAAAATAAATTAAACTCAAATAAAAATTAAT